ATCAGAGGCAATTTTTGTTAAAAAAATTTTTTGATCCGTCAGATACGGATACGGATTCAGATTTGTCAGATTCAGATATGGATTTGGATTCAGATTTGTCAGATTCGAATCGAATCAGATTCAGATTTATCAGATTTAGATCAAATCAGATTCAGATTTTTCAGATTCAGATCAAATCAGATTTTGCCTAAATCTGATCTGATCTGATCCATGCAAAACACTATTTTAAAGGAACAATTAAAAGCATCATTCCAATAAAATGATAGAAGAATTATTCTAAAGGAATGATTAAAAGCGTCATTCTGATAAAAGATTGAAGAATCATTCTAAAGGAACAATTAAAAGTATCATTCCAATAGAATAATAGAAGAATCGTTTTAAAGAAATAATTAAAGGTATCATTTTGATAGAACGATAGAAGAATCATTCTAGAAAATGATTTTTTTTATTGTTCTAATAGAATGATGTAGTATTTAAGGAATAATTTTTTTGTATTGTTCTTTTAGAATGATCTTTATCATTCTATTGAAACAATTTTTTATATCATTTCTTTAGAATGATGTAGTATTGCTCTATTAGAATAATTTTTTATTGTTCTGATAAAACATCCTTTTATCATTTTTAAGGAATAATTTTTTTTTATTGTTCTAATAGAATGATGTAGTATCATTCTTAAAGAACAATTTTTTTATACCGTTCCTTTAGAATGATCTTTATTATCGTATTCAAATAATTTTTTGTATCATTCTTTTAGAACAATGTAGTATAATTCTATTGAAATAATTTTTTTATCATTCTTTTAGAATGATTTTTTATTATTTTTAAGAAATGATTTTTTTATCATTCTGATAAAACGATAGTTTATCATTCTATTGAAATGATTTTTTTGTATTGTTTCTTTAAAACGATCTTTATCGTCTTACTAGAATGATTTTTTGTATCGTTTCTTTGAAACGATATAGTATCATTCTATTAGAACAAGTTTTTTATCAATTCTTTAGAACGACTTTTTATCATTCTTAAGAAACAATTTTTTTATCATTTCGATAGAATGATAATTTATAGTTTTACCAAAATGATTCTTCTATCATCTTTTGAAATGATTCTTTATCGTTGGGAGATAAAATTGTGAAACTCGCTAAGAATTTGCAATTCTTTAAAAGTATTGCTAAATTTTTTGTAAAAGCAAATGACTAAATGACAAATGATTTAAATAATCTTAAATGATTTATGATTATGACAAAGGAATAGACAAATCATTTAAATAGTCAAATGATCAGGTCATTTCCGTATGGAGTAATTATTGATGATGTTTATATTAATAAAGATTTATATAGGTATATTATTATTACAAATTTACTTCCATTTAAATAAGAAACTACGTTTAACGTATCTAATTTTTCTAATAGAATTTATTTATTCTTATCATTTATAAAAACTTAAAACTTAATACTTTAAAGGTAACTCTTATCTTAAATAGAGATATATTTCACACAGTTAAGTATATGTTATCTTAGTGATATTCTATTTGTAATTATTTAATAGATTATTCAGTATTCATTATTGATTATAACATTATTGATGAATATAAAAGGTTGAAAGTCATCTCTAACATCAGGTCCTAGTGTTTTTAATTAAAATCAAAAAATATTACAACATCTTTTATGAAGTTTAAATTTAATAACACATATTAATGCATGTATTAATAATATTATTCAAAACCTATTTTAACATATAGCTTAAAGATCTAGAAATTTTTTAAATCTGAAATTTGATTAAACTTAATTTTAAATTAAGAAAAATCTATTAGAAGTTTAGGTAAAAATATTTATTATAAATAAAAGTTTAATCTCAAATATCTCAAAACCAAAATAGTTTAAGGAGGCATCTTTTATATGTATATTTGTATATTACTTTTTAATATCTAATGATTTATTTTTGAAAAAATAATTCTATTAATACAAAAAAAAAAGACTGGCTAGTTTAAAGTTAATCAATTTAAATATTTCACAAGTATTTTTAAGACAAAAGTTTTTCACAGCTCTTTTGCAGACATAGTTCTTTTGAGAATATTCAAAATTCAAATTATTTTCTGAATTGACAAGAGAGAGGCAAAGACAAAAATAAGTACTATTGAAAATAAGAACCTACCCTGATTCTTAACTCTAAAAAAATAAAAGAAAAGAAACAAGAGTCCAGTTAAAAGTAGTTGTAGAAAATTTACTACAATAATATCGATTTTATATAAATCTGAATTTTACGAATTCAAATTTAGAATTAAGATTAAATAATAAAGAGATTAACCTAAGAGAATTGGATGGTCTCTATTTAATAGAACACCGAATAATTAACTAAATTTACTGATTAATTGATATTAGTTAGGCTTAGGTGATTTATCACCGGTGCGTTTCAATTTTTAAGTATCTGAATTATTTTTGGGTGATGATGTTTATTTGTCACCCATGACAATAACATAGTTGACACGTACATAACTACAAAAAAATAAAAATAAAAAAAATCCGGTTAGTTTGCCAAAAGTAGGTATTCAATTGAAAAAAAAATTGTGATCAAAATAGATTCTTTGTAATTATAATAAAACTGTCGTCTTCATATGGAAGTGTAATAGATATTTTAAGATATAGCCTAAAGATGGCTGATTTTCATGTATTTATTTCCCAATTAAGAAAATTTTATGATAATATTTAGAATTTGGAATTCGGTAAATAGTATTTGATGTTATTTTAAGAGCATTTTAATTTAAATCCTTTTTTTATTCTTTAGAACATGTGGTACGAAATAACATTGTGATTATTAAAACCAGTTTTTTATAACCGATGTATAAAAGGATTCTTTGTGCAAAAATATAATTCAATGTTACATTTTTCATTTTTTGGCAAATAATAAAAAAATTATTTTATTATATAAGAACATCTGAAAACCTTTCATCGGTTTATAACAAAATAAATTTCATCATAAAAAAGTAACCCTGTAAGCTCTTTCAAATTCACAAATTTGCGCGTTGTTCAAATAAAATGACACACAAGCACAATAATAAACCTTCAAAGAAGGTCAAAAATAAAAATGTAGAATACAAAAATGTTATAATTGTATGTACCATTGACTTTTGTCATTTGGGTTACAACGTATGGGGCAAAAGAATTATCCGACAAACTGCTGGATATCCAAGTGGAGTAATATTCTCCATAAAAGAAATTGAAGATTACCGGGGCAGCTGGTCACCAACAAACTTTTCTATATTCCTTAATCTTCAAAATGGATGCTAAGAAGAATACAGCTGGTCAAGAAGATTACAGCTGGTCGAGAAGATTACATCTGGTCAAGAAGATTACGACTGGTCAAGAAGATTACGACTGGTCGAGAAGATTATCCGGATAATGATGGGCAAGAACATCAGGACAAGAAGAACAGCTGGTATCCGGATACTGCTGTCCAAGAGGAATATCCGGCCAGCTGTAAAAAATCCGGCCGACTGCTGGACTAGATACCTTTCAACAAATGACGATTATTAAACTCTCCGTTCCAAATAATTCTTAATTAACAACTCCACTAAAATTTAGTGACGCGTTATTTAGAATAATTTTCTTTTTTTGTAAAAATTTTATTTATATTTTATTTAATTTGTTACGTTTTTACGCGCAATTGATGTTTGTTATTTTTAATAATTAATAAAATAATTAATTTTAAATAATTCTAAACTTCAGAATTTATAACTTATGCACTTAAACCAATTATTCATTGAGCTAAAATAGTTCGGCAAGAGAAAAAATCTGTTTAGAGTTCTGACATAAAATCCTATAACATGTTCATTATACTTCTGAAGGTTCAGCATCATCCTTATGCAAAAGCCATTTTGAAAATGATTCATGAAGTAGTTCAGGAATCATAATAGAAATGTCTTTAACCAATGCGGCATTATATCCACTAATTGAGCACGTTTATGAAGTTTCATAAATTTCACACCAATCCAAATTCCGGTGTAAATCCAGATTTTGATGCATTATTTGCAATAACCTTATCAAAAATGAACCTCAGCATCAGAAGTTTGATGATGACTTTCTTGCTTGGATAGCGATACATCACTGCTATGGAAAAATTCAATTGATGCGGAAGTTACACCTCTTTTGAAAATTTAAATTCTAATGTTCCTCGTCGTAATTTCATCCTTGTTAAGAATCTTCCAAGTCACAAATGATGGAATCTATCACGTTAAAAGTTTATATATCTTTTTAATGAAATATTAACTGAGATTATACACTCTAGCATTTGGAGCTGTCCCATAGTTAAGTGACAATTTTCTAGACAATGTCCTAACAATATCCCAACAACAACACTGTCTTACTGACTACATGTTCTAATACGGTAATTTTTTTTTTTTAGATTTTGAAATTAGATTTTTATCAGAATAAGGACAATATAATCTTATTTTAATAATAATTACAGCTATTTCAAAACTTGTAAAAGTTCACTTCAGAAACTATAATCGAAGAATTCAATAAGTTATTTGTTATCAATTTGAACTTTAAAGATGTCTTTATTATAGTGTAGTGAAAAAATAGGTTCTGTTGTTTTCCATTAGTTGCTACGTAGGAAGAGTTTTTTTTATTTCCATTCGTTGTTGCATTTCTCCAAAACATTCAGCTAGTCATCAGAAAAATCAATTTATGATGAGAATCTAATATAGATATATTAAGAATAGTATTACTAACTTTTTTTTAATATCTGATTCTACGAGTTCTTGTGAAATACTATATGCATTCTGTCGCGCCATCTCATTCCTTTAGAATCTGAATAAACGTAAGAGTTGGTTTCATCATTCCAGCAACATTGATAATAACAACAACTGATCTACAATTATACTTCGCTGATACACACTCCTTTATATAGGATTGCTGAAGAAATAATTAAATCAAATAGATGGAAATACCCGCTTGATCATTAAAATATTGCCAACGATATTTAACTTTAAAGATTAAAATTAAAGTCATACGAGCGATTAGCCGCATCAATAGATATAATAAATTCATTAGTGTATTTATAAGCAAATCCACGAACCTTGATTATTATAAAATATAATTTTGCGTCATAATAGCATTGTTGTTGACCGACCAGAATACATATACGTCGGTTCCATCAACGGCACCTTTTCAAACATCTTCTGTTGTAGTCTGATTCTGCATAACCGTTTTAGGATTGTATAACGATTTTCATTATGCATTGTCAAAACTTCCAAGTTTTTCATTTTTAGCATTTTTGAATTTTGTATCATAAATTAATCTCGAGTTTTACCATGATACAATGCCGTGAAATTTTCCAAAGTGCATTTAGAGATGAACTTTTTTCGAATTAAAACAAAAAAAATATTATTCAAATTTAAACTTAAAATCTAGTAACATGCCAATACTTCTATCCATTAATATAGTTAAATACAACCACCTTGAATACATTCTTGAAACATTCGACTATCAATACCATCTTCTTCGCGTGCATCATGTGCTGTGTCTTTGTATATGCATTATTTGGCATATAAGTAAAGTTGGATGCACATAAAATAAGATCAAAAAAATGTCCTCTAAATTAAGGACGTTCTTCGATGGAGTTATTTCCTTTGGGATTAACGATAAGGGTCTTATAAGTTAGTAGTCCGCTTGATATAATGGTTTTTGGCCTCGTAGGAAAGGTCATGGAGAAGTCTTATTATACAGAAAAAACGTTATACCTAACTTATAACAAATCACTTGGTTCTCGGTCTACGTTCCTTTCTTCAACGAAAAAATTGATAAAAGACATTTCGTTAGCGATTTGGCTGGTTTGGGTGGTGACTCCGGTGATAGTCATTCAAATCCGATTACAGAAATGTCAGCTAAAAGAATGAAGTTGTCATAAAATAAAGTAAAAAGATCTTAGTTTTAATTTTTGATGATATAGCGATATAATTTACTTAATTGGAAATATGTGGATTTACCGTGAATTTTCAACCAATAATATTTACATATATAAGCGTGACGTTTCTTTAAAAAAAAAAAAATATATCCGGTCACACATAATTGGTAGCGAATTTCTTCTTATTAGTTGTAGATATATAAAACTAGAATTAAGCAGGAATAATGTTGGGCTGTTTGAAACATGGTTTTGACAGTTGGGAAAATGCTTGGGATATGTATACTGGCGTAGAGGATGAGTGATAAAAGACAAAATAGTGATGTAATCAATGAAAAAAATGGTTTAAAGAACCATTATCAATACATACTTCCAACCTGGCATATTACCATCAACATCATCAAAAAAAAAAACACAAAAACAATCATCACAAAGCTGCTTTATGAATGCATTACAGTATTGATTTTTGTGATCTTTTATCATTAGCATCAAAAGATGTAGATATATTATATGCATCACATTTGCAATTATCTACTGGTCTTTAATATTCTTATTTGTTTGAAAAGAGATGGTATTTAATATACTTAATTATTTATAATAAAATAAAAATTTTGAAAGTATTTAATGTAAATTATATAAGTTTATTATTGAAGAAAAAACAACACTAATTATATTTTTCTAATTGGATTTGATATATCAAATTTTTATAAAATTAAAAGAAAAATCATTAAAATTCTAATTTTTAAATAGATTTGACTTTTGTTTATATTAAATTCTATCTAATAAATTTTCCCTTTATTATGATTGCTAAAAGAATTCAATAAAAATTTTCTCAAATAATTATATCCAAAATTCAAATACTAATAATTAACATTATTAATAAATCATTTCAAACACATAAGTATTAGAAATTACAATCTTTTCATCTGAAAAAAATAGAAATATTTCCTTTATAATGTTAATTCAAATTAAAAAAATCAAAACTTTTTGCTTTTTATTATTTTTATTAGAAAACATTGTAGATAAAATTAGCCTAATCAAATTTATAAAGAGATCTTATAAATTGATTTTTTGTTAATCTACTAATTTGAGGTGAATACTGGGAAAATAGACCAAATTGATTTTTTTTTTTTTTAAAAAAAAGTTCCTAAGTAAAATATATCATCTGATTCAGATTATTTGTTATTTCAAAAAAAAATTTTTTTGTCAATTCGGTTTTTTTTCCTATCGCTCACCCCATTTGATTTTGATAAATTTTAGTTTATTAGAATTATTGAATTAGGATAAATTAGAATTTAATACAGTTTTAATAGTCAGCCTACTGAAACATATTTTCTATACTTAAATTTCATTAAGTAAGAAAATTTAATGTAAAATGTAGATTATTAAATTATATAAAATTAGTCTTAATAATTATACTTTAAATTTTTTTATAAATATAAATCATATTTTTAGCATTCATAGGGCCTTGTAATATACCATTGTCTTGTAAAACAGATAATTCAAATTTTTTTCAACCAAAGTTAATTCATCCATTTGTCAGCATTCGAAAATAACTCAGTGTTATATTTCGTCAACAAGGATTCAAAAATTATCTACGTCATTGGGCCAATAGAACAAGTTTTGATAACATATTGGCTGACATATATGATAAACAAGTTTGAAAGACATTTAAAGAAAATGGTTCAGAAATCTCACCGAAATTTTTTAGAACTGATGTAGCTGATTTACATTTAGGCTTAATGTTGAATTTGGATTGGTTTCAACTATTTGACGAAACAATCTATAGCACTGGAGTATTATATGCTGCAATTTTATAATCTTCTAAGAGACATTTAATTCAAGTGTGAAAATTTACTAATTCTTGGAATTATGCCTGGCCTGAATGAAGTGAGTTTACACAAAATAAATAATTATTTAACACCAATTATTAACGAATTAGAGTTAATTTAGAATGGTGTGACTCTAAATTGAACATACGAATATCAAGAAGGAAGAAGAATTCATGTAGTATTAATCCTTATTTCATGCGATATTCCCACAGCAAGAAAAATTTGCAATCATGTTTTGGCATTAGTGTCATATCATAGGTGCAAAAAGTAGGCAAATTATGAACATCAGCAACATAATTTTGCTAAAATAAGTAACATAAACGAATGGTTTACTTCCTGAGATTCGTCACAATATCAATAGGATGTACTTGGCTAGTGAAGGTATAATTCAGATGCTGGTAGAAAGCAATTTGTAAACATATTGGTGTTAAATGGTCCGAATTACTTCGTTTATTATACTTTGACCCAATTCGATTTTTAACGGTTGATTTAATGCATTGTCTATTTTTAGGCATAGTGAAATGAATAGTTAAACGAATTTGGGTTGATGAAAAGGTTTTAACTTCAGATGCTCTTAAAAGTATCCAAAGAATATGAATCAGATTCAAGTTCTAGCCAATTTGGGTAGAATCCCTTAAAAAATCAACTGCAGAAAAAGTTTTTTAACTTCACAGCAGACCAATAGCGAATATTTTATACAATTTATACAACCACATCGCTTTAAGAATATCTATCAGTAATCAATCAAATGGGAGCTTTGCTATTAAAAGTAGGTTCCGAGACTATAAATTGATTTTGAGTTAAATGATGATCAAAAAATAGTTACGCCACAATAAACATACTTGTCCA